GCTTTGTGTTTGCCCTGGCAGAACGGCTTGAATGTGAAGACGTGAAGTGAGGTTGATCTCCTTTGCTCGAACTTACTGTTCTGCTTTCGAAGGCAGGCTAGAAATCAGAATCCACGAACCCCCAAGCAGTAGCCCTACCTCAAGGCAAGAGCTACAGCAGAGCGTCCCAGGACGGTAAGCTCACGGCAGATATCTGCAAAGCCCGCAGCAGAGACCTGCAACGGAATTTATGTCTTTCCGCAAAAATACTTGACAGGACATGCCGCCTTGATACAGGATCGCGAAGGCAAACAAAGCTCTCGATCGCTGGACAGCGGCAATGATCTGAGACACGGCAAGCGCTTCTGAGAAAACACAGGCTCCACCAGCACATGGACCGCGAGACTCACGATGCATCACTTCCGATTCTTCCGATCATTGCTTGATCTGTCATTTTGAGGTGGCGACGCACATCAAGACCCAAACCTGCCACGGGATGGAGAGGTTGAATCCAAGGTCAGCAATCCAAAAACACGAGACTGATGAAGCCACATAAGTTTAAGGACAACATTAAACGCTCAAGTCTTGCAATGAGCCCCGCACCGATGACATCGGCCCCATCTCCACGGCTACCTCAGCCGCAGCCACAAGCCCGGGTGCAGTAGTTCAGACAGTGTGCATAGCTGTGTAGCCTCCTGCGCAGATTGGTTTGTGCACGCTTTTGGCTCGCACGTTTTCTTAGCAAGCGCATCGACATCAGATTTCTCAGGGTGACAGGAACCGCCGGAGTGGCCGTCTTCCGACATGCTCGTGACCGTCGCCTTCGTCCAGCTCCTCACTACCCTGCGTGGCTCGCGGCAGGCCATGTCCATGTTCTTGACTCGCGACAGAGAGCACACCGAAGCTGCTGGACACGATTGCAGGAGGCGTCTGAAGGGCTCTTCGCAAACCCGAAGGGTAGACCGGTATAGGTACACTCCATCACGGGCCATCCAGTCGAACGAGATGTGGCTTGCTCCAAGTGTTGGCAACCGAACGGAGGGAGCAGCCGCTACCTGAGGAGAAGAGGTACATCTAATGCAAGTCACGGACAGTTTCAAACACTATCTCAGTGCTATGCTATGCCTCTACATATACTATGCTAACAAATTCTGCACCCCATCGAACCAGAGTTTGGATAAGCTGAGCCTGCTGCAAGACGTGTCGAGCATGTTCTCGTGTCGTCGTCTGTCGGCTAGCCGGCGGCCAGCTCTTCTTAACTTCGCTTTCGCTTGTTCTTGCCGGTGCGTTTCTTTGGCGCTGGCGCGAGCTCTGTGTCTGCGTCCACCTGGGTAACTCTTGCTGAGCAGGCGGAACAACGCAGAACCACTACATCAAGCTGAAAGAGCGCCGACCGAGTGACGGCCTTCTGCTCCGTGACAGCGGGCGTCCTCAGGCACGACAGCTCAGAATTCTGTTGATCAAGGGGCGAATGTTATGCAAAGCTACGAAAGTGCAAGCTAGCAATTCCGCACACAGCGAGGAAATCACCTCACGACATCCCGCTCGGGAGTACATACTCGAACGAAGCTACAGTACTGGGGACGTACCGGACTTTGCTGGAGGCGAGCGTCGTCTGGGATGGTGAGGCTGCATCAGCAGCACAAAGCCGGCGCACCTCCGCATCCAAGGCCTCCAAAGAAACCTGTTCAAAGCTGCGGGCGCAGGGCATTTACACACAGTGTTCTGGATTGCGATTTCTGCGTAAGCAATGACACCACAGCAGACACAAAAAGGAATCCTGAGTACTCATGTGCAAGTTGGTGATCTTTCCGCTGGGCGGCCGCGTCAACATCTTGATGCTGCCGCTTGTGTACCTGATCGAGGACCTACATAGATTGTAGGGATCAAGGTTCAAGTACACGGCGAGGACCGCAGGATTGACCCTGGGACTGTCTGGCTGCAACTTATCCCCATGGATTTGACAAATTGCTTTCGCAACCTCCCTCCTGCCTCCAAAGCTTTTCGTTGCTTTGCAGCTCGTTTGCCGGTCACTGGCCCGCCCACCTGCCGGCTCTGAAGGCAAAGCTGATGCTTGGACACGCTTGGTTAAGCCACTGACGAAATCCGATTGTCACTTTCACCACAACAGCTGCATTTGCAAGTGCTGGCACAAGAAACTTGACACACCATGCAAACAACCAACAGGCAAAATTCTAAACTTGACTGTATGCAAACATGCACGCACACCTCCATGCAAATGCATGCATACAGGCAGAACGCAACAGAGCACAATACCACATTGGATTGGCATAGCAGAGCATGGCATCGCATAACACAATATAACCTATGATACCACAATATAACATAACAGAACAGAACGGGAAGACATTAACATAACATAACAGTATAACAAAACAGACAGACAGACAGAAAGAAAGAAAGAAAGGCAAACAAACAAGCACATATAAACAATGCATGCATACATACATACGTGCGTACATACATACATACATACATACATATAGGCATCGCCATACGCATACTGTACACGACAGGTACATACAATTTACTCACACACATCTGTGTATGTATGCATGTATGTACATGGGTGTGTATGTGGCTGTGTATGTGTGTGTGTGTGTGCGTGCGCGTGCTTGTTCATATTCGCGTGCGCGTGTGTGTTGTGCGTGCTGTGTGTATGTGTACGTGCATTTCTGCCTCCTCATGCATGTGCAGCAAACTTCAAAGCCCCATGCTTTTCGGTCCCAACAGGCGCACCAGGGCGGCGGTGAGCCGGCGGCACTCCTTGCAAGACTCCAGCTTTGCCACCTCCACGGGATGGGAGCTCGAACGGAACACACACACAAACACAAACATAATATCCGTAATATATGTATACATATATATAGTATATGTGTGTGTGTATATCTAAAATGAATACACACACGCACACACACGTTTTCGTGAGCTATATTCTACATATCAGGTCGTGTGTGTATATATAAACAAAAAGTAAATATATATATATATATATATATATATATATGCAATTCTGTATCTACGTTCATTAGCGTTCATTTATCTATGTGACAGGTCTGCATATGGTGAACATTCAATAAAATAAACGGAGCTTCAGTTTTAGTCCCTTGGGGTCTGCGGTGTCTTCTGCTTCGGATCTCGACTCGTACGTGTTCAAGTCCGCCAAACCCTGCCCTATGCACTGAACCGTGGGGTTTGCCACCAGTGAAGGGGGGGGATTCATCTTCTTCTAGGACGTCCCACGAGAATATGACACTGTTCATCCGAGGCAGTCGGGCCTCGCCCAGGAGGCCTCCCTCTTGGAGCAAAGGTGCCAAAGCCGGCTGTGCCGGCAGTACCACACGCCTCCTTGGTGCTCTCGAGCCAGGATTCTGAATCGAAGGAGTACATGACAATACGTCGCTGAGGCAGTAAGCCAAAGGGCTACTTATAGTGGCAATCCATTCTTGCCGTAGATGATCAGCGACAGCCAGGAACCAAAGAGCACTAACATGAAGAGTCCAAAGAGATGAAACCATACATTCCCACAGCTGCCCAGCTGCGCGTCGGCCACGGGAAGGACCGCCAGAGCACAGCACAAAGCCGACAAAGGCGGACCGTCTCGGTGCCGAGCCTGCAGACCCCAAAGCTTAACCCGACAAGGTGCAAAGACTTTGCCGTGGGCGTGAAGTGGGTGTCTGCAGGCCCTCCCTCCATTTCACAACATTTGTCGGATCGGCTATGCTCTATCAGAGTCTTTCTGCAGCTGTTCGAAACAGAAGCTGTATCCAACCTTGAAGCACTCGGGAGGGAGCGTAGGTATCTCCTCGGCAGTGAAGCCATTGCAAGAAGTGAAAAAACACATGTTAACCGCCGACCACAGAAACTGTCCAGGACAAGTGTCTTCAACCATCACGGACGCAGAAGCGAACTCCTCCGCAAAGGGGCCAGAAACAGCACCACGATTGTGCTTGATACTCGCTCTCTGCAAGTTAGCTCTCTCGACAGCTATATGTAGGAGCTTCAGAGAAGGAGCCCTCAGTGCATAAGATCTCCCAAAGAAGTTATCCCAGTTGTACATATCCAGATGCATTGCAAAATCGTCGGCTTAGGAAAACCTACATGTGCATAAGGTGTGTGAGGACTTATGTAGGGTTTGGGACGTTTGTCGTCCTCCCAAATCCCCGTTTGGGAGGAACAGGTCTACAGACACATTACTGCCCCAATCTCTCGACCACCAGACCCTGCAAACAGACAAAACATGTTAGCCATACATGACAACTCACGGATCCGGAATGCATCAGCAACGCCAGCTGGGAGCTTTGAGTGGGTTCGCAACAGAAAAGCTCCTTCAAGTAAGCAGGAAAGCGTCGTTGGCAGTCTGGGCACCTGCCTACCAGGCAGTTCTGCTATTCGATGTGGAGAAGTGCCAGTCTCACTGGGAGAACACTTGTGTCCTAGCTAAGCACCCTGTCGCTGTCGGCATGTAACTGCAGATGGCGGTATAGTCTTCTTCTTATTGTTATTATATTTTATAGATATAACTGTACAACTGTATAACTATATAGATAACTTTACAACTATATAATGTGTTATGATATGCTGAAGATACTGCATTCGCTTCGAGCTGTGACCCGAGCACGAGCCTGTACAGTAGGTCTCCAAGCACCAGAGCAGGGCCTCAAGGTAAAGCGCAACCTGAGCCCGCTCTGTCCGAAACCTATCCCGGTCGTGCGGGAAATTTTTGCTCCTGCAATGTAGGCAGGCCAAGTAAGCACGAGTATATGGCAGCCGTCCGTCTGAACCCTGGCACCAGTGCAGAGTTCGGTGTCGGGAAATCGCGACTCCGCCAATTGCGACTAGCACGAGCATGAAACAGTACTGCATAGTATTGCACTGTCAATATGTTTTCTTGCTCTTCGGCGTGGGCGTGGCTCTTTGATGCTTTGGAAATCCTGAACCCTTTTTTGCACAGGCTTGTGGATCCCGCCTGGATTTGTCGCACCTGTTCTCTGTAAGCCCTACCTAGACTGAAGGCGAGTGGCGCCATCTTTGGGAACCACGCCGCTCAGACGGGCAGGCAACCAGCCAGAACCCTGCGCCTGAAGGAACGCCTTGGTCTAGTCCCCCCGCCATTGGCTAAACTGAATATAAGACAGAGATTCGGGGAAAGGTACTATATCTATATCTATATCTATATATATATATATATACATACATACATATGTACTAGTGACTAACTAGTGTTTCTACTGGCATCAAAGAATGAGACCTGGAGAATGGATTTTGCGGCTTCAGCATGCGGCACGTGTGGTCTATGTGCAGCCCCCAGAACATGGGGTGTTGTTTCCCCCCCGTTTCACAGGTATACTACCGCTTTTCGGGCTTCGAACGCCTACACACTTCACACGATCAACCTGCCCTAAGTTTGTAAAGAAGCATCTGCCCTCTGCGCAAGGTCTCAGCCGAGATTCTGACAGTTGTCCAGGGGGGAGCACCTGTCAAAAATGTTGAGATTTCTGACAATCCCGTTCCACATGATGCGGGGGTGACGAGACGCAGAAATGATGGAACGGCCGGATGACCAAATTGGCAGTTGCAGTCTGTGTTTTCAGGGCTTGTGAATTGTAGCTACTTGCAGCTTCTGGCACAAGTCTGGAAGAAATCCCACTGCCGCTTCTGCATCGACCTCCATTGATTTGACGGCCAAGCTTCCACTCCCCCCTGCTCTTCTCCAACGTTCTCCATCTGCACCTTCGGCTCAGGAGGGGTAAGATGAGTGGCTGATGGCTACACACGAACCAGAACTTGAAGCCTGTCTACACTATTCACTATTCGTGCCTGCACATCGGCATCGGAACATGGCTGCAAACTGCATTGGACAAGCACAGGTGAGATTCTACTTCAGACTTAAACATGCTCTTTCACACCGGATCATGCTGGCCAGTGGCGATGCCAGCAGCGCCAATCGCACTCTGCCGCCAGCCTTGTCTAGCTGGGTCTCTGGCGTATATTTCACACCCATTCTCAATTCTCAGATCATCCTCATCCCCATCCTGCCAGTATGGCGATAATTTCGAAGTCCGCTTAGCAAGAGCATCGAGCACACGAAATCTCCGAGCTTCCGAGGAACGGAGGTACTGAGTCCAAAGGTCTGCAGGGTCATGACCTGACCTTGCGCGAGCAAGACAGCTGGGGGCTTCGGGGCCTTTGAGTCTTGGCTTCTCCTTTTCCCGTTGCCTAAAACCGACATGCACTAGCCACCTCGGAGTGAATGAGCCAAGACGCACAAGTGCTGGCAAGTAGTCGTTGCCCCTGAACAGCATCACCAGCAGGAAGTCAAGCCGCAGCTGTTGGAGATCCTGGCAGTTGGAGCCGAATTGGGGATGTTCAAAACTGGGTTTCGCAAAACATGCAAACCATACGCACGAACAAGAGCATGGCCGCTCCGTCTAGTAGACTGCTTACTCTACACACAACATCTTTGGAACCACCATGATATGGCTGAGCTGGATCGGCGTTGCAAAATACATTCAAACGTCGCCTTGGGAGTTGGCGCTGCTGGTTGCGGTTGCGTGGCAAAGCTGTGGAGCTGCCTGTCAGCCATGGAGCTGCTTATCGCTAAAAGCACCCTGCTTCCTGTATCCAAACACGTCATGTTCACCAGCACCATGGTCGGTATCATCATTATCATCATCCCGTCTTCACGGCCATATTGTGCTCTGGTTTGAATAATCCCATCGTTCTTTTTGAGACTCTGCTGGCCATGCCAACAGCAAAGCATGATGATATCAGCAGAAAACAGTGGCAAGCAAAATCGCAGGATGGTCCCCCAAAACGTCAACAGCTACGACGAGGACGATGGTGGAGCTAGGGCTCGGGCTTGGCAGTGATGTCTAGCGAACGGTCCTTGCATCCCACCCTAACAAAAAATATGGAAATGAGCCACTGCCCTCGCCCGCAGGCATGCCTTCCCATGGCTTGCACAAGCCGATCACCGCTGAAAACTCGCCTGATGCAGCGAAGGGTTGACCCTTGGGCCTTCAGCTGCCCGCGCACTGAAGAGAGTGGAAGGAAGCAACGACGAGCAGCAGCAGCAGCAGGAGTAGGAAGTGGTGACGGTGACGGCGGTTGTAGTATAGTGGTCGTCGTCGTCCTTATTGTAGTAGTGGTGCCAACAGCAGCGCTGTAGCAAGCTGTTACAGGGAGGTACAGCAATAGAAACGCTCAGTAATACGATAAACGGTCACAACAGGGTCGCAATAATCGGCGTGCCAGCCGATGGCTCCTCGAGAACAAATGCTATGGAGCTGGAATCAAACTGAAAAGATCTTCGACTCTCACATCCGGGACAATCCGGACGAGGCGCCTGATGCTGAGATATGGGGTGGGGGGGGAATGATCGCCGATGTACAGACTAATGGCTTTGTACAACCGACTCATGTAGTCCAAAAATTCAGGAAATACACTGGCTCGATGTCTTGTGCCAGGCAGCAAAGCAGACTTGCGCTGTGTCAGCCCGTCCTGCACATGCGGATTTCAAAGAGCAAAATCTCTCGATGTCCATCCAGTGAGACAGTTCTCCTTTCTGACCTACAAGTGCATACATTCGGTGTCCCCTCCTCACGTCGCGTCACGGCCACTCGCTTTGGGCCACGATGTAAACCAACTGGAACCAAGAGCCTGGGTCCATTGATGCGATAGGCGAGATTTCGTTCTGATGAGTCTGCCACAGTTTTTCGGGTAGCAAAGACTATATTCAATCACGACCACCGCAGCAAAAAGAAGAGCAAGAACAAAACAGCAACAGCAACAGCTGCTCCTACTGCTGCTGCTACTATCTGCTATTGCTACTCCGATGTAGTAGTAATCGTCGTAGTAGTAGTAGTAGTAGTAGTAGTAGTCGCAGTGGTAATAATGGCAGTAGTAGTGCTACTACTACTAGTGCCAGTACGACAACAACAACAACTACTACTACTACTACAACAACTACTACTACTACTACTACTACTACTACTACTACTACTAGTGCTACTACTTCTACTACTGGTACCACACCGCCAACTATTGATCCTGCTACTGCCGACAGACTGATTTGTCGGCAACGACTTGGGACTTCAACTATGGACCCGGCGTACAAGACCTTCGAGAAGTGGACTGTTGCTGCCACTTCTACCCGCTACTGTTCTGGTTGGCCTAGAACCCACCAATAACCAATTTAACAACTGTGCTACTTGACGGCGCCTATGATGCTCAGGATGACAAAGAAGATTATGCGCCCAGCTTCTATCAGATACATGCTTCCTCCATTTCAATCAGATAATCATCATCGTCGAAAAGATGCTGTCCCTGACGAAGCGTCAGATCCGAGTCAGTGCCGACAATGATGTGGCACTCCTTATGTTGCTAGCCGCAAAAGATCGCACGTGGGACACCCAGCTGGCGCTCTCAAGTTAGTGTGCGTAATCGCTCTAGGTACGGATGCAAATCAGTACAAAGACAACCGACTGATAGCACTCACATACAACCCAAACAAGCAGTACATTCCTGTCGGTGCACTAGGAACTCAAACTCACACGTCATACCGAGTGAGTCAAACATGACATGTCATGACAAGTAGCATCGCCTCCAGGTGCTTGCGCTGCGGATTCGTTCCTGTTGTTAAAGGCTGGCACGAGACAAGTGGAGTCAAGCCAAACATGAATGCAACAGAGTATCGACACTGCTATGAACAAACATCACACAAGCTTCAGCATTCCAGGCCTCAGCATTTGGCACGAGATCTTGTGCTCTCCTTCCCCGGCTTCTTCCGGACCACTCACCTGAATAGCATGAAGACTGGCTGAGTCCGATAGATACTGTTGCCGTTCAATCCATCTTAAATCGCAGTGCTCGCAAGATCCCTGTGCCGTGTGTGCAGCCTCCAGGCGATCGGGATTCTTTCCGAGGCACCGCAATCCGCAGATCTTGGGGCAATTGCCCATCGGCCTTCAAGGATTCAAAACAGTGTCAAACCGACTGCAAGGGCTGTGCTGGGATAGTTTGGCTGGAGGAGGGGGTGGGGCCGCGTCTGAGTCTGATATGAAAAACTTGGATTCAAGCCGAAAGCTTCATGAGGCCCTTCCCCATAGCTTACCCAATTTGCCCATTGAAAGAGTGTCGGTGCTGGCAGATGAAGTGGCAACCTGCCATAGACTGCCCTGCATCAACAATGCTCTAGAAGCAGTTGTGTAAAGCGCATACAGGTCCTTGACTTTGTCTGCATGTCTGCACCACTACTACGTCACCGCCCTTCCTCCCTTCCGTTCGTTATTCAAACCTGCCGTGGATGTATGTGTAAGGCTTGAGGCTAGAGGTTCGTCCCGCCCGTCCGCAAGCCTGCAGCTGCTTCAAATGCTCTCGCAGGGCACTGGTCAGATGATCCATGATGGGCACGCCAGGCGTGAGCATGTTCACCGTGATGCCTCGCGCTGGTGTCCGCTGTACTCAGCTCCGCTGGACAAGTCCAATGAGCAAAGGCATGCGCAAGCCTGTTTTCGCAGAGGCCCCTCTGAAGCACGCCTCTCCAATGCTAAACGGCACTATCCGCATGGGAAACAAAGCTCCCAAGCCAGAAGAGATGTGCAACATCTAGGACAATAAACACATGTTCAACTTTTCGGATTATGCTGCACGGCGTGCTGCTTTTGAGATGCTGCCACTTTCTGGCACGTCTAAGATTGCAGATGCATTGGCAAACGGGATCGAGGCTCTGTGTTGATAAGCTGATAGTGGCCCTAACCCGTGCTGTATTCTTCGTCCCCGAGCACATATCCTGAAGGATGTGGACGTCTGCTGCCTCTCGGGTCTTGCACCCTATCTTCAGCACAAGGCCTGATCCCCATGAATTGTCACAGGCAAGGTGCCCCGAGAGCCACCTTTCCTGCTGACAGGCTATACGGAGCTCTCCGACTCTCCGGGCTGGCATTCTCCGACAGTCTCGGCAAGAAGAGCCATGTCCAGTCTAACAGTCTAACACAGTTCCTTCTACAAGTATCATGCATTGGGGAGCCACCACCTCGCGAGCCATGCAGCCTGTGGGCCACGAGGCCACGTAAGCAAGTTCGAGCAGGCTGAAAGCGAGAGCTAACCCTTGAATCCTCCACCAAGGCTTGTGTTTCAAGGCTCTGAGACAAATCCCACTGTCATCTCCGGCATCTTGCTTATTGAGTTTTTGAAGCTCCAAGCAGGGTCCCTTGGTGGGCTCTCCCATGTGCTAGGCATCAGAACGTCACGCTCCTGCATTGTCCATGCATAAACTCTCGGCCGAAGCGACCAATTAAACATTTTCGCATTTCGCTTTCTGATCGATCAGGATCAGATCTAGATCCTCGCGGTGGCCGACTAGGAATGGTGTAGCCTCCTCCGGGCACCTACTTGCTAATCGGGTGCCCGTAGGAGGCCATAACAAGGGCCTCCCTCATCTCTTGGACGGAGTTGTAGCTCGGGAGGTACAACGTGGAGAAGCATGGGACCTGAGGCTTCAAGATAGTATCGAAGAAAGCCGGACACGCTCTCGTTTGCCAAGCAGCTGCAGTTGGCTCCATGCTTCTTGTCGGTGCCACGGAGAACTGCAGGGCTGCCAAGCCACCTGAGAGATCCGCCATTGAGCCACCAGGTTTACAGATAAGCTCAACCCCATGTGACTGGAGACCTGCCTTCTGGAAGATGAAAGCTGCCAGTTGCAAACTCGAGCATGCCATTCTGCTGCTCGGGCGTCATTGCCTGCAGGGGGAGTCATTACATCCCGTGACCGGTTCGCACCCTAAGGGGCCATACTTTAGAATGCAATTCAGGAGCAGCAGTAGTGCTCAACAAGGGGCCCTGGCCTCAAGAGCTTCCCAGAACATTTGCCAGGCTTCCGGCGAAAGCTCGTCCATCTTCGTGCTTGCCTCCTCGAGGCTAGTTTGGTTGTAGTTCCACAGGCAGCGAAGCTTCCAGAGTGCATACGTAAGTCGACCTTTCACTATGCAACTGCCTGAACGAGATACTCCGTCTTACAGACTTACAGGATACTTTGTTGATTGCTTGGGGGTGTCTGCCAATATGCCGACCTGGCAGCAGCTCGCACCTTTCGTACCGATTCGCTTCTGCGGTGCACGTCGTGAGACGGCACGCTAAGCCACTAAGAATAACACCGGACTCCATGCAACAGGAGCAGTTTTTCGAAGCCTATACTCAGTTCTTGACATGAAAACTATTTTTTGCCTCCCCCCTGACGATGACAAACCTACGATGCAGGGGACTTATTGGACTTCATGGGGGTTGCATTGCTCCTCATGCGAGAGTCACAATCAACTGCCGGTCGCAAAAGGAAGTCCACCAGCCATTGGCAGAACAGCAGTGCGAGCGACAGCAAAGCCTTCACATCGTATCTCCCAGACTCTCCAGGCTGCTTTCTTTAAGAAAGGAGCCCAAAGAATGCACACAAACGTCTCAAGTGCCTCATGGTTCCTTGCTTCACAAGAGCATTTCCAGCTAGAAAAGCTCCTGTCTTCTCGCTTTGAGGCTTTGAACAAAGGGACTATTGGAGCGCCAGTCTTTCCAACGACTGAGTCCTGAGGGCTCGCCGTACGCCTTAAACCATGCCTGCATGTTCGTGATGGACTGGGAACGTGCACAGCCGGAAGCCTGGATCGGCTTCACTGCTGTCGTCTGCCACTCTTGGCTTTGCAGAGCATGCTTACGTTTCTGAAGCGCCACGAGTGCCGTCTCCAATTGCTGAACTTCCTCGAAGCATTGCCCCAGTTCCGAATGCTGGGTGTAGCTGCTTTGTGGTGCAAAGGTCAGGGTGGCGGAGGGCATTGGGCCAGCCTTGCGGCTACCTTCGTGCTTCTTCACCCGGCTGACATGGCTCCGCTGTTCCATGTTAAACTTCTGCTGCATCTTGGACATGGACTCCACTTTAGTCAGCAACTTCATCCTGCACGCGCCCTCTTGTGCCACAAGTTCGGGAAGGCTGGTGCTTCTGGCGATCTCCTTAATCCGATCCCTTCCTTCTGTCGACATGAACCTGCCGATGTGCACGGGCCCGTGGGCCACGGGCAGAGAACTACCAGACTCTTTGAGCAAAGATGGCGAAGGCATTGGCAAGTGCTGCATAAGTTCTGGTCTTGCCGTCGTCACGTGCGGTGGGGTGCTTGCAGCTTGCACATTCGTGATGTGCAGGAAAGTTGAAGCTCATGATTCCGGCAAGGGAAGAAGCTTAAGGGAGGCGAATTACTGCAAGTACCAAAGGCTTCTGAGTGTGCAAAGGTCCTTCCATTCCTGCAAGTTGAGCTTGGTGGCTCCGCAAAGGATCATCCCAAGCTCTGCAGCTGAGACGGTACCTGGCCCATTACGGGGCTCTTTCTGAAAGAGGAGACGAACTACACTAGTAATAGTAGTAATAGTAGTAATAATAGTAATAGTAGTAGTAATAATAATAATAGTAATAATAGTAGTAATATTAGTAATAGTAGCAATAGTAGCCAGATGTAGCAGGAGGCTGGAAGCTGTCGGCTCTAGCAACACAGAGCGCGGGATACATGCAGTGCTACAGCTTCAGGCAAGCAGCGTTGCAGTTGACTCTGCACTTCTGGAGAGATCAGCTGATGAACACCGCGGAGCAAAGCATCCACCTGCTCACCACGAAGGCAGCAATGTGAATGGAGTCTGATCGTCGAATGCTGTGTGGCTGAGACCGCCAAATTCCGTTGCAAGCTGATGAAGATCAAGATTGACAGACTGGCCCTTCAGGTTGAGCCTGCCTGAGGCCGGACGCAATCCAACAGCCGATGATGGCACAGCTTCTCCTTAGCGTTTGCTTCACTTTCTATGAGCAGCGGGACTTCAGCATCAGCATATGCACTGACACAATCCCTCAACCAACATGACTCGGCTGGATGTCCAAGGATTACACGTTGCTTCGCCTATATTGCCAGAAATCCCCTGCTGCATTGAACTCCCACATTCCAAGCTGCTATGTACTGGCACTTGTTCTCCTCTGACACCACCCTCTCGGCGCCGCCCCAGCAGAGTGCAGTCTTCACGCCACCGATCTCCTCAGGAGGCGTTCTGATCGTTCTGATGCCTACACTCTTGAGATTGGTATCGATGCTTCTATATTACGACGTATACACATGGGACACTTACAAGACTCAAAGGAAGCACGTGGTCTCCAGACGTTATCTTCGAGCAGCGCTCAAAAATCTTGGAGGCCCCATCCCAAACACTACGACGCTTGAGGGTGCCATGTTGACAGAAACTCTTCAGGAGACAAGAGCAGAGGGCGCAGGCTCTGAGAAGCTGTGCAACAGCTTTCCTAGCAACTTGAAAGACTGTAACGTTCTTCTTTCGACGCAGTGCCACTGACCACCTGCAGGTTGCTGAAACCACTATATCGGGGTACATGATTGCTCCAGTTCAAGCAGCTCTAGTAAAGAAGACGAGTGCAAACCCACGTCACAGCAACAGGATAGCGTAGAGCACGAACCCCATGTCTGGCTGTTTCCACTGCCGTTACCTTGAAGAGCCTATGCGATCTGGATCAGGTGAGCAGCGTCTTCGAAGGTCAGACCCAAATCAGAAAGCTGCTTTGGTGGCTCCTCCTCCAAAGGCAGTATTCGACTCCCTTTTTTCGGGTTGGCTTGTGATCATAACTAGGCTGCGAACTGAACTGGCACGTGCATATGACTACGCAGGACAAGGTGTGGCAAATGTGCAATATCCTATCTATCCATCTACCTGCCGGTCTAGCCATCCAACGATCTGATGTCCTGCCTGTCAGCCTCCAAGCCGGGATTCTAATAGTTTATGCGCTTCGTACTCGCAGTATTGCGCATCCTTGCATGCACACGGTGCGACATACATTTGCTCATTGTTTCTATCCATTCCCTCCATCGTCAATCTGCGTGGTGAAGACTCACAATGGGGTCACAGCGCATCGTTCATAAGATCACGTCCGCATCACGTGTTGCTCTCCCGCTTCTTTAAGCTGGCACACCCAACGAACATGCGTCCTGAGTGTACTGCCCCTCCAGGATGCGGAGGACCTGGGAGACATGATCAGTTCGACTACTGCAGCTGGCAAGGTTTCGGATGCACCAGCGAATACTGGGGACCGAACGTGGCTCTGGTAGAAATTGGGATCTACGGCTGCCAAGTCCTCCATGCATACAGGGTGTTGAGCGCTACTTGAGTCTCAACTCTGGAATGATGTATCGCATGGGTGCAGGACCGGGGATTCCACACAGAAAGCAACCTGCCTGCATGCCCAGCTTCGCCTTAGTTAGCGAGTGCAGAAAAACTGGCATGCTGACGACAATCCATTCGCTAAAGCACTGGGCATGATGAGCAAGTGTGTCGCCATGGAGTGGGAAGACATTCGACGGGCCAAGTCTGCCACCCTGCACCCTTCAAGGAACCTGCAGGCCCAACCAGAAGAACAGCTCAGGTAGTTCTGTTCGCAGCAGGACAACACTAGATTTGTGGTAGGACATCTGTTCCATGCATGTCTTCGGTATATGATTTGATGAGCCCAAAGGGCGTTGCTCAGCAAGAGCTTGCGCAGCGCCGGGCTGAGGCGCATCGACGGGACTGTTTCTTGGTGGAGCAGCGCGAGGCCGATCACTTTGCCACCTGTAGCAGACTTGCTAAGTTTAGGCTTGCTTGGGGCCTCTTTTCTCGCAGCCGTCATCTCTGCGAAACGTCTGTGAATGACTTCGGCCTACCTGCCGGTTTCATCAAGCGCCGATCAAATCATGCTTGGAAGACTAGGTCTGTGGGTTCCTGCTTCTGCCCCTTGCGATGGCTTGGAGCCATAGCCATAGAATGTCAAGGTCTCTTCCGAAGGTTCACGATCTGCTTGTGGATAGTGGAGGCTACGCTAAAGCGAGTCTTTATCTGGGGCAAGGCACAAAGCTCGAACTGGCGCAGTTGCTCCTCGCTGCTGGCTTCCGGGTTGATGTGGAAGGACGAATTCCGTCCTCAGCTGATTTCCAAAAAGCAGGGCCTTGACAACCTCGGCTAACCTCGGGCAAGCACCTGGCCCGTACCACGAAAACAAACCTGCATGAACAAACGAATGCCTATCGCAGTACCTCTACGAACCTTACATGATGATGATACAGGCATGTGCACACGTAGTTTACGTCGCCTGCATTCACGCCCACATGGCATGTACAATGTACATGTGAAAATTTATACATGTATATGTACATGTATACATATATATATATATGTATGTATCTGGAGTATGTTCCCAAACCTACATAGAGAGTGAAGTTGCGGCACTAGCACTTAGCGGCATTGGTTCCTTAACCACCCACCCTCTTGGGATGTGCTGTGGAGGGGCGAGCAACCGTCAACGAGCACCGCACTGGTCAAAGCTGCTTTCAACTCAAGCCAAGCCGCATTTGCCCATGGTAGTTGCTGAGGACGCAACTAGGAGTAAAGTGATTATGGTAAGTCCTTCGCTATATCCCAAGTCGTGCTGGTACCCAGGCTGAGCCAAGACTCCGTCCTTGCTGACAAACAGCCCAAGCTTCATGAACTCATCGGCAGCTAGACCTCATGTTTTGCAAGCCCGGAACCCACGTTCTAAGCTTCGGCTGAGTGTCGGGCCCATGGGTGAAAACAGAGACGGAGCGCTACGATTAAGGCGGCGACGGAAAAACTCTTGGCGATGGTTGCTGTCCTCTTCTCCCTCGTCGTCAGACTCGTCAGTAAAACTCCTGATCTGGAGCTCCCAGGCTCCAAGCTGACAGCAAACTTCCCGAATCTCCATTCAGTCCAAATCCAACCAAAATCGCGTGCGTGAGGCTTTACAGGAAAATTATGTTCTACACTCAAGTAGCAGATCCAGCAGCTCCGATCTTGTCGTGTACCGTCTGTATTGGACCACGTTTTGGAGTTTGAGAGTTATAGGAAGGTCTTTTCCCCGCCATCGCAACGAGGTGTGCGTGGTCTCGAGTGTTCCGTTGCAGCCAAGATGCACATCGATGCCCCAAGACAGAGAATTGGAGCACTGGGCCAATCCTGCGCAAAGGCTCGCCTTGGCGGGGGATCAACCCCATGCTGCAGGCTGCAACTCCTTTCGACAGCATCTCATGTGCCCGCATCCAACGCAGGCACATGAACGCCACGAAACCGACGTTTAATTCCAGAGGCGGTTATCTGAGTTACTACAAAAGCTGGAAGTTTAAACTAAGTCTCGACAGCCATTGAAAAAGTCCAGGCAGGGCACAAGCAGCTGCTCACGCTGTACCTCCAACCGCACAGGAGCTGGGGCATCCTCACGGCAAGGCAACATGTATGCGAACTTTTCATGTGTGAAAGCAAAACTTCGGCTTGTCTGTTCTTCGGACGAGGCTTATTGCAAGGCCCGTCACGAGCTAGAGCCTCAGAGAGGAGTGAGGAGTTGATATCGAACCGTTGGCCAAAAAGCATAACATGAGAAAGCATATCACACACACATACACTTTCGGAACTTACGTTTCTTGCAGGGCTAATACTTGACACCAATAAAAAAAATATATGTTTATGTGCTTTTCGGGGCTGCAACAACCTTATCAGCAAGTGTTGAGAAGCCTCTGACAATCATCGGGTTGAGTCAGTTGCTCGTCCAATTCAAAGTTTTGACGTAGTCGGTGTTAACTTCATGGGCTCTCGCTTAATCATCGTTGGGAGGTGCTGCGGAATCCCTCCACTGAGGGTTTGTTGATAAATTCGTGATAGCTGGTTCATTCCATCGCTCGCAGTCCGCAAGCAACTACGTCGCATAAAACAGGCCTATGAAAAGTTCAATTACGACGATCTGTCATCTACCTCTGTATCTATCTCATTATACCTTACATGTATGTAAATATGTATCTCTACTATAGTATACAAACATATAGATCCTTGCTCTTGGAGGGGGGGTGTAACATATGGGTGTTGTCCAATATTCCTTTGTCCTAGTTTTAGCCCTTGGTCCGCGCTTGCGCGGACCTTGCGCACGCTTGCGCGCACACACGAATGTGTAAACATGCATTCGCGTGACACGAAACTACAGAACAACTGCTTACAACGGATGGTTATAGTTGAGAATGCTTTGACTCAACGCTGCATGGTGGCAGTAGCAGTTCAGTAGTTGTAGTCGTAGTCGTAGTTAGTCGTAGTTAGTCGTAGTAGTAGTAGCAGTAGTAGTAGTAGTAGTAGTAGTCGTCGTAGTCGTAGTAGTAGCAGCAGCAGCAGTCGTAGTAGTAGTAGTAGTAGCAGTAGTAGTAGTAGCAGTAGCAGTAGCAGTAGCAGTAGCAGTAGCAGTAGCAGTAGCAGTAGGAGTAGGAGTAGGAGTAGTAGTAGTAGTAGTAGTAGTAGTAGTAGTAGTAGTAGTAGTAGTAGTAGTAGTAGTAGTAGTGTGGTGGAAGCAGTAACAGTAGCAGTAGTAGTAGTAGTAGTAGTCGTCGTAGTAAGCTCGCCACGGGCCCTCTCACTTCGTGCTCGGCTTCCGAACGACGGTGGAAGTAGGAGTGGCAATAGTATAGTAGTGGTAGTAGTGGTAGTAGTAGTAGTAGTAGTAGCAGTAGCAGTAGCAGTAGCAGTAGCAGTAGCAGCAGCAGCAACAGCAGAAGAAGAAGAAGAAGGGGCAGCAGTAGTGGCAGTGACAGCAGTAGCAGCGGCAGCAGCAGGAGATGGTTGTAAGGCTGACCGTCATCCAGCCATTTCTGGAAGAGCCGTGTCAAGACCAGAGTGGGCCAAGACCTTCAAATCGCTTTGCGTGCTTGCGCGCACCTTGCGCGCACCTTGCGCGCGCCTTGCGCCAAGTTACGCCGGTGTTTTGAAATTTTTGGAGTGGTACTACGTACTTGCCATGAAAATGTTGCGTGACAGTCTTTCGTAAAACTCCGCCTGATAACCGCTTGGCACCGCGAGCATACATCACACTGGCGTTTACTTGGATGAGCTCATACAAATACCGTGGTGAAGGATCTGCACTGGATAATGCTTTCGGATCTTGGATGGAATGAGCAAGAATTCACCCATCCATGCTATGCAAAACCTCTCTCGCTTTCGGCAGAACGTGTCGAGATCTTACCGACTGTACATACACACACACACACACACATAGACATATATACATAAATAGACATCCTTGTCTTTAGACCTTGCGCGTCCCTTGGTCCGCGCTTGCGCGTACCTTGCGCGCGCCGCCTTTTCGCCACCTTTGTCATGTTAAGATTCAGCGCTTAATAAACACAAGCCAAGGGTTTTCGGACGCAGCTCATATGTGTATATATATATACATGCATACATGGAATATTCCAGCTTTGTCGGTCCTCGCTGTTCTCCTGGAGCAGCTCCGACAGCCACTCGCTTTTGAAGTCCAGGGAGATCTCAGGGCGCAGCCAGGCACCAAAAACACTCGCACCGTTGAAGAATAACGTGCCTCACCATCCTCGAACCTGGGACCCGAAGCCCGAACTACCACACCCTAAACCCAAAACCCTAAAGGTAGAAGTTCGAAACCTTGAACTTTCGGTCAGCACCAAGTCACCAGCTGAGTGTAGCGAGGCCACCACTGCAAGAGCTGGATCAAGCCTCAAAGCGGATTAGATGTGAAGATTATACAATGCTGGCTGTGCACAGACAACGCATGCAGAACTACAGGGGAGGACCTGGACAGATCTGTACATCAAAATCTACATCGCATCTACCTATCTGAACCTATCTATTTATCTATCTGTATGATGTGCATGGTGCTTCAGCTATGTGATACTGTCATGCAGTCGTGAAGATCAAGCTCCACAGCACGTACATGTCGATGTATGGTTGCACGGATCTCGCAGTCACAACTCGCAAACAAACGTAGATCCAAGAAGCCGTAGAGGATGTCTCTGCCTTTCTCCAAACCTCGCAGCAAGTCTTATCAGGCTTATCATTCATCGTCGCTGCAAGCTACAAAACAGCTCAAGTAGTGCACTGCATTGTCCTGCTGCAACTCCGACAGGTGAGAAGTCTGAGTGCTGTTGAGGTGCTGCAGAGCCGAGGAATGAGGCGTTCTAAGCTGCTGCCTGCACCCAGCAGCGCCTGAAGGTAGACCCGAACACGCTCGGACAGTTGAATCTCAACTGCACGTGTTCCCGCGGAGATACACAACAACTTCGAAGCACAGAAAAGGCACCTACAGTACACCATCAAGTCTCGGGTGAACTGCTGTCGAACTGTCAGACTTGAACTAAACAAATGCCTGCTGCAGTTTGAACCCCCGGCGCCCCGGAGTCGATGCTCTCGACCAGTGTTTGCAAGAGCTCCAGGCAGGAGCTCAGCAGTGTGGAGGACTCCGCAGCTAGGAGGAGGCCTGGGTCATCAGTCATTAATTTTGTATGAGACGTGCTTGTCTTCTTTGCGGCCCCTGGCTTGCCAAACATGTATAGCTCGGATGAGTTCGACGACTTCCGGACTCCTTCTCTGCGGCGCAGTAGCTGATGGAGTTGATGATCTGCTTCACGTTGCTGCCGGCCAGGACCTGGGCATCATGAAGTCGCGTGGCGAACACAAGACAGGCTTAGCTTGGCTCTGGGAACTACCAGTACTGTCCCATACAGGATCATCTTTGGGCTTAGGTCCACCCGCTATCTACAGCTGGAGGATCTTCGTCTCCATTAAGCATTGGACAAATACCGGGCACTTCAATGGACAGGTTCGATGAGGTCGCTGGCGCCCTTTCAGCGACTGCCTCGCTTGGCCCGTAGAGGGCCCGTTGGAACGTGCGCAGCAGGATCAAATGTACATAAGTAAGGGCTTGCGGAAGCAAAGAACTTCCTCATCCTCGGTGTCCGCATCCTGGCATGCTTCGGCATCGGGACCATCAGTCTTAGCACTGACATGGTCAAGCAGAGACGCAGCTTGGCTTGAGGGCTCTGGCCAAAGAACGGCACCATCCGCCAGGGCCACAACCTTGTCGAAATACTTGCTTGAGACCTTCCCCAGTTCGTCGCCCGGCGTCAACACGACACCGTTGGTGCTCCGAAAGAACTGGAGACCATCGGCCATTGCGCGGGTTAAGGAGATGTAGATGACGACTTCGCAGTCGCTTCGCATGCCGCTGACCACAGTGTTGGTCGAAGTACAGGTGGTGAAGTGGATATGGTTCCTAGCCATCCTGGAAAGACCACCGCTGCTCAGTATCTCCTGCCAAAGCATCATGTAGGTCCCATGGACGCAGCTCTCAACCTCCTGGGCTTCTTCAAGTCCCATTGGCTGCAGAAGTGCGTCATCCTTCACCGAGCGCATGGTGTGGCCTTGGGTTGCACGAATCCACATCTCGCCAGCCCTTGTCGTGAGCTCGAACCGTCTCTTTTGATCCCTCTCCACCAGCTCCTGCACCTCTTCGGCAGTGTGCTTGAAGCGAGAGAATTCCCGAAGACCAAGCACCGTGGACAGTGGCGCATACCCGTCTTGGAGCATGCCTGCAAAAAGGGATCTGCCCAGTACAGCTATCAAGCATGTTTAGGGCATCCGCACCTCAAGAACTTACGGGGCGCAATCGGCGTAACCACTGGTAGCCACTGGTAGCTTACGATTAACTTGTGTTCGCCTATCCCACGCTGCTCGGCGCTGTGGCGCAGCAAAGACGAAAGCTTCCGACTGAGTTGCTCCTTCGATCTGTGCAGGCATCAGCAATGCCGAACGATCACAAATACTGATTGTGTCTCCAGAACCCAGCCCTTGCCCGCGCTCCTCGCGTTGGATAAGCAGGTGTGCATCCGCCCGAACCTCTGCATTTCACGACAGATCCCCGTTCGCACTCAGGCAGACAAGGCTTTTCCAGCGAGCCCACAAGCACAGTACAGATCAGAGGCCTTCTTGGCCCCAGGGCGAAAAACTTGTAATTGCCGCACTTCGCCTTCGTCAAGCCAGGATGATCGTCGGAAGCCCACGCACCGCTCCAAGTGCCGCAAGGTATCAAAAGCCCCAGTTCGGAGAACTAGAGAGTCGAAAGATCAGGCCTGATCCAGTGGAGACGGACATGAGCTTCTGAGACTTCACCACCTCGAGACGAGACTTGGGGTTGCGAACTCGCAGAGCCTTGCAGACTCTGGTCTCAGCCCTTCCTTCCGATACTACCGCCTGAAGGCCTCAACTGATAATGTCATATGGGTGGTTATCAAAATGAGGGTCCCTGATTGGGTCCCCTAAATAATAGGTGGCGTATTATAATATAGGGACCCAAAAAGGGGCCATAATTTTGACAACCGCGAGTCCTGTAATTTTCCCCTGGCTCCCACGTCGCCTCGTGCGCGTGCTTTCGCTCTGCTGCATTCAGCTCGGCGGGAAATATGAGAAAGTCAACACTTTCGGTCAGCTTCTCCAGCTCCTGTCTGCATCAAGGAACAGCAAAAACTGGGGTTGTGGTGGACCTTTGTCTAAACTTGCAGTTCTAGTACAAGCCACTTCCCCACTCTATGCTATGGCAGGCAGCATCTGCCTCATACACAGCTCATACACAGCAGAAAAGGATACTGTACACACAAGACGAACCCATGTTCGAAACTCACACTCGGCACTGACGGCAATGCCTGGCGGGATCCCTTTTGACGGCTACTGCAGCTGAGTCTGTACAGCAGGGAGCAACCGACAACCGTGCCTGCCGGCATGGTAGAGACTTTGGGGTTCAAGCAGCAACCAGGAAACTTGACGGATCGAACTCGAGGATCCACGGCAACGCTAACCTACATTCCCGGGTGCTGCCTCAACAGACAGGACTTTCGAATTGATTTGGGAGGCTTGAAAACAATCTCGTGCGCGCATCCGACGGGAAGCCCTGGCAATGCCTTCCTCAAGTTGAGCTCGAGATCTCAGACTCACGTGATCCATTCTGGCATTGACCCCTATAGCCTATGGCCTTTTGGGCTTCTGTTTGCAGGATGACAAAAAACGGACCTGACTGCGCTGCTCGCACTGCTCTGGCCTGTGCAGTTGAAGCAGTGCGGCTTGCTACGCATTGAAGTTCCGGGTTTTTGGGCACCCGGCTATGGGATTGACAAGTTCAGGATGTCTAAGCCATTTCCGCGCAAGCTTGAAGCCCTTGCTGAGGCTCCGCTCTCAGCGAGCGTCTTTCAGAAAGAGCTGTGGGGAGGCGTCCGTCACTCTCTGGACTTGCTCATCTTTGATTAGATCTGTGACCGCTGTCTGGTGCACAGTGGAGGCCATGATGAGTGAGGATCGCTCAACTTTCGCAATCGGGTTGATGTTGTTCTGGATGACGGTCTCCGTGACGGTCTTGTCGAAGCAGTGTGTTGCCGCGATGACCACATGCAGGCTCGCATGCGTCAAAGGCAAGGCCCCTGACTTTGTTAGGGCATCGAGGAGGTCGAAGGCAGCCTCTCTTTCCGTCTTCTGCTCCGCCTTGGACAAATGGGACGTGGAAGGGCTGGCCAACAGTGCCTTCTGAGAGCGCTTTGTCCACCGCTCGCCGGGGTTGATGATTGTCGGCCGGAGGGAATTATCGGTGTCCAGCTTCTCAAAGCGCTGGTCCAATTCAACTGGCACCTGCGTGTAGTCCCGGGTGCCCGAACTGGTCCCTACTGAGCTGTGTTCGTCAGGAAACCTCTGAGTGGGCTGCGGCTGTGGTGGCTGCGGCTGTGGTGCCGGGGCGGCGACCGGAGCGGGAGCTGCAATAGCTGCACAGGCGTCAGCTGGCATCGGCATGCCCGCCGCACCGGGAGGGGAAGGTGCGGCACAACCGGCCATCATGATGGGAAAGCTGTGGTTCCTCGGAGCAGCTTGAAGCTGGACCTGAAGTGCCTCCTTGACCATCGTGGGGCCGCGTCTATCATCTTGTTGCATCACGAAGGGATTGTCGTACAGAACCTCCCTCTCCCTCTCCTTGAGGTCCTCTTGCTTCGCCTGCGCCAGCATCTCGTGCATCGCCTGCACGTGCCCCTTGACACGCTCCAATCTCTCGGCTGCAGTGGGATTCAAGATCTCCGCATCGCCCGAGGTGGCATCGAAGGAGAGCAGGTCACTAGGGATCTGATACTTGATGAAAAGCTGCATCAAGTCCTGTGTTAGCTTGATCTCCTTCGTCAAGCTGTCGTCTGCCAGATTGAGGACACGCTCCAGCTGTGGCTTAATCTGCACCACGAGCACACCAAATAAGGTCGACTCCAGCTGCATCGCGCGGAAGGCTTTCGCGAAGGCTTGCTGCTCTGGCGAAAGAGACTCAATGGCGTCTTTGAACTCCTTTGGGGATGGAATCGTCGAGAGACTCAAAGGTATGGTCAGCTCATCCTTATTCTGGATGATGGCGGCATACTTCGGGTCAAAGCTGCTTGCAGACGAAACCCGTCCGATCAGGACCAGCATTGAGCTGAACTGCCTGGCACGCGCAACCAAGGACAGCTCACAGCCCGACTGTCCCGAGAACTGGTGCGAGAGCCAGGCGTGAAGGTGCCTCTCTCCGGCAAAAGTCACGTTCGTCGACGCATTGAGCGGAAAGGTCATGGGAGCTGACTCAGTGGTGCTGGCCACCATGGTGACGATGGGGCTGTTGATGTTGGAGTCGCCACCAGGCCCAACCACTGCCTCTTCGATGCTCACTGTTCCCTCCGGGCTATGTGTGTCAGAACGGCGCACAGAGAAGCACAGAGGTTTCGGAAGGAATGCCTCGTGAAAGAGTTTGCGATAATGAAACCTCATGTATGCGGCAAAATCTGCAGGGGAAACCTCCTTCCCGATTGCGGCAGCCAACTGCTTGCGGAGCATGTCTTCTACGTAGCCGATTGCGTCGGCCCAGCTGGAACACACCCGGGCGACATGCTGCAAAGTGACGACTGCAAAGGCCTCTGCCCTTGTGGCGAGGCCCTCTTCTGGGAAGGCCTCTGCAAGGTCGGCCTGCTTCCCTTTCAGAGTCCGCAGTTCTTCCTGAAGCAGCCGATTAGAATCCTGGACCGTCAGCTGCACATTGCTTTGGGCCTCCTCATGGACCGCCTCCACAAGGACCATGCTCTCGCTGCCAGGACCGAGATCTTCGATTGCTTCCTGTGAGCTCTGGACCATAACGGGGAGAACAGGGCTGAAGATGCTGTCATCTCCTCGGATTGCCGCGAGGTCCAGAGACTTCTTGGCAACGGTCTGTACTTGGAAAAGCCCGGAGAGATAAGCGGATACCTGGTTGGCGAAAACGGCAACCCGCTCGCAGTGGTTGTATGCCTGCTGAACATCTCCGTTGCGCCTCGGAGTTTTGCAGTGTTTGGCCAGCCTGTCCACGGTGAAGCCAGGTACAGCCTTGTCGTTCTTCAAATTGCGGAAGAGCCAGCTCACATTCACCTGCAGTTTGGCTGCTGGCTTCTTCACCTCCGGGCGCGGGGATTGCTTCGCCGATGTTATCAGTTCTGCTTGTCCTGTACGTGTCATCAAGCAAAGCCGGTCATCAGCAGTTTCACCAACTCCTCTGATTGCCACCAGTTCATACTTTGCTTCGAATTTCCAGAGGTACTCTGTTATCTTCGTCACCACCTTGCTTGTGAATGCAGCCTGGAAAGCGCCGCGAACTGAAACCTCTTCGACATGTCTTGTCGGATCTTCTTCTTCCCGAGTTTCCTCTCGGAGGTAACTGCATGCCTCTTCGGCATTGAATTGAAACGACACGACTTTGTCTTTGGACCATTCTTGAAGCTTCTGCACATGCTGCATCGTCAGGCCCAAGGCACTAAACGAATTCAGTTGCGATGCAACTGCTGCATTGGTCACGCCCTCCACCAGCAAGTACTTGTCTTCATACTGATGGTGCACGTCGCCAGCTGCTTGTGGATCCTTGGTTGCATCCAATATGACTCGAACCCGCTCCAACGCGGCTTGGAGTCGCTGTTCCACACGCCCTTCGGCAAACGCTTCCATTGCAGAAGCACGAACTAGCAGAAAGCGGTGGTGAGTGGTGCCACTGCAATTGGAACAATGCTTGAGCCAAAATGGCACGGAACCCTGTACTGTCTCGGTCCGTTGTGTTTTTTTGGAAGGCTCGCAGCCAATGTCGTCGGACAGTCGGACTCGGGCAGGGCGAGGTTTCATGGTGCTTGATTCACGCCATGGGGGTTCAACATACTGAGGCACTACCCGTAGCCACCTAATCCTCCTCCCTGCAGTGAAAATCTGGAGACACCCTGTTTTTGCGTTCGTTTGCCACCCCCTTGCCCGGCTTCCCTTCATTTTACCTGATTTGTAGGCCTCCCTCAACCCCGTCGCCATCTTCCCCCGCCTCCCCCCCGCCTCCCCCGGCCGCATGACCAGCAGAAGAGCAGTGAGACAGAAAGATGGCGTTCCCGCACTCGACACCCAACCGTTTAAAGGTTGGGGTTGAGAGGCCCCCCTAGCATGGTGTATACGACATCCACTGCCCCCTCGCCCTGCCGCTAAAGAGCCGAGGCGGGCGGCGTAGCGTTAAAATTAATACGATGTGTCTGATGGGCCCGAAGTCAGCTCCTTGAGAATATAGTTGGTCAGCTGAGTTTTGCTTTGACCCTTTTCCGGCGCTGCAGCTTCGGCAGACCTCAGGGAGGAATGCTCGACCCTGACTGTGTCAACACTATCACGCTCAGCCAGAGAAAGCGTGCATTGCAGCTGCTGCATGGATTTAGGTTGCGTGCCTCTGCTTCGCAGGGGCTTCGTCCATGAACGTGGCTGCCAGCTTGTTGAGCGGCTTGTCTATGCTACCTGACAATCTCGGAGTCCGAGAAATCGGTCGGGAGCAACCCAAGCCGGCCCAAACCTATGGATCAACAACTCATGTACTCGCAGCGTAACTTCTGAATCTTCTGAAGTCAGCACAGGACACGAACATATCCCACTGCGGCGAAGCCACCATGGCCGGCAACATGCCTGCGGACCCTGGCGACGTCACCGTCGTGGCAGCGGTATCCAATAACAAACTTCTGCGAGCCAATGAAGCAATGGGCAGAAGTCGACAGAGATGCTCAATGTCTGATGAGTCCCAAGTGGTCGAAAAGTTTATCAGGTGACGCTGGGAGGGAAATTGGGATGCACCGTGGTCCGCAGCTTGTTCTCGCCAGATCCTTCTGACGAGCTACTTAATGTCCAACCTCATAAATATGGAGAAACCCACCACGTAATCACAAAATCCAATACCCAGAACGTAATTAGAACCCCCCCCCCCCCGTGAATTTGCAGAATCCACGCGTCCGAAGCTAGAGAAAAGTAACCAGAATCTTGCGTATATGAAAGCTTAAGTGAGCTGAGCTGAAAGAAGACCCGCTGGCCCAAGCACACCCAGATTCGATTTCTAGCTTGGCTCCACTGCGTCACCGTAGGAGGCGCTCCCCTGGGGCCTCTAAAGGTACTTGGGGCATCCTGGGGGTCTTAACTGGGCCGCAGTTACAAAGGCTGGGTGGGGGAGGGGGTGTTCTTGATTTGAAGCGTTACAGTAGGCATGTGCACAAGTCGCTACATGAAGCAGATTGGGAGTAGAGGGCCTTGCTTGGCCAGACTGCTGCCAAATGGTGGTGCTGCAGCCAAGCTGCTGCTTTCTTGGTTGCTTCATTCTGAAGGAATATCGTCAGCACGTTGATGATATCGTGCTCTTTTCTCTCACCAATCTCCTGTGCGGGTGCAGATTGCACACAAGAAGCTCCAGAAAGACTGCAATGGACGATGCCTCCATAGCCAGCTGCATGTTCTCGACTGCCAATGCCACCAGTGTGTCCTCAGGTCGGAAACGCGCCTGGTCCAATCAGCTCTGTTTACCTCTACCCGGAGCTCTCAACCCCGTCCTGCCATTCAAGAAAGAACATCGCAACCGGGTATCTGCAGATGGCAGCAGCTCAGCTTCACATCACTAAACAAAGCATTGCCAAAAGGGCGAAGGATCGAAGCGCGCATGGTTCGCCAAATGCTTCAAAGCCGACGGCTCGCGGGATGAAGCCACGTGAAGGGCTGCATACATCGCAGCGCCTTAGGTTGCTAGCGATGGCATTTACAGAATCGCTGCATTGCGGAACTTCTTTACCACAAGCATCTTGATGTCTCTCGCTGCTTTGCTTCAACGTGTGAGGATATGCGGCAAACAGCCTTCCATAGCCTTCCACATCCCCATGGACCCGGTATCATACAACTCATGAGTCATAATCTGAAACGGGTATGGCCTGAATGGGATCTTTGTCAGGCTCTCGCTTTGTTCCAGAAGGCCTGAAGCCAAATTAGTAAAGGCACGAATCCTGGCTTGATCCTGTCTGTTCGTCAGCAAGCTGACAACCAAGTTGGACACCAAGTGCTCCAACAAGGATTCCTGCAGCAGTGGCATCACGACGGTTCGATTCCTTTCGGCAACAAGGATAATCCCTAACCAAAGGCAGTGAACCAGGCAGCTCTCTGGCTAGTAAGATGCTTCCTCGATCAGGCCCACAAACCTTCTAGCGGCACGATGTATCACAAATCCATGTTACAGAAACATGTCCCAGGCAGTGCTTCGGGCACCTGTGTCAGGAGGATCTGCCGGAAAGTGCTATCCTTGACTTGCAAGGTATCGCCGAGGGCGTGCCTCAGTCAACAGGTTTCAGACTGGTCCACTGATCTCAGACCTCTGAACGCATGAGAAGACCGTCGCACAGCTCCCTTTCATTTTCTGAATTGTAATTGCTGTCCGAGAAGCATCGAAGTGGTGCTTTCCGCAGCAGGCTCCAGGAACTGACGAATCAGGAATGTCAGCCACTTCTCGGCGAACTCCCGCCTCCAAGATAGCTGAGAGGATCTCTTTCATTCAGAAAACCCGTGCTTGCTACTGCTGCTGGTGTTAAGGTCTGCATGCGCAGATGAAACGAACAACTCGCCTGTTCGCTGTTTGAGCATCCCACATCAAGTTGTCCACGGGACTGATCAGGAAGCTGTCCTGTGCTGGCCGGTGTGTTTAATGTAGGAGAACCAGCAGTATCCCTGTCGCACCACGGGAACGTGCAGGCTTTCGTCTGACTGTGCGCTCGGGTCCGATGCTATGATTGGGGCATGGTGTCCAAGGCGTTAGGGATCCTAAAATGGAAAACACTCTTTCTGGAGATTTGGAGCCCCTCGCTGCATTGCTGCTGGGTTTCCAGGGTCTCAATAAGCTGCAGACTTCCAAATTGCCACGGCCATGCATCCTTGAGGCGGCAGGGCAGGCTCCGTGCTGGCTCCAGAGATATATTATGAAAATGCCCGCGACTACCACAAGGTGCCACGGCTCGAAAAGCTTGAGCATGAAGGAGTCCCCACCATCTTGGCTGATGATGAAGTTGCAGAAAGCCACCCTATCCTGCATGCAGGCAGCGCGAGACTCTTTAACCTGGCCGCGAAGGATGCAACATGATGCAACAGAGCGGTTGCTTACCCAGCCTCAGCATTTTCCATGGATGCCGCTGTCAAACTGCACGCTTCTTAGATGGCATAGCCGCTATAGCCATGGCCCAAAAGACTGCAAGGGCATCACAGGCGGCATCGCAGAAGCATTGACATCTGCTGGACAAGTCTCGTGCAACATCCCGCTCTTCCACATTCCCACATCGGCTGACTGCCTCTTCATCGGTTCAAGCTGGATGTGCCAGCACACATGCATTGCTCCAAACCATTTGTTTTGCACGTTGTTAAGAACCAAAATCCCAAACCCAGATGATGAAAGCTGGCCTTGACCAAGTGGTGTCCGAGGGCTGGCATGTCCACCTTGGTTGCAGAAGGTATGTGGGCATCTGACAACAAATGCCGGTACTCATGGGGCCAATCCTTTGCATGCGAAGCGGCATGCTTCAACAGCATCTCGATGCTGCCCTTCTCCCTTGCAAACTCGGCGAGGCCCCGGAAAACCTCCGACCGGGTTGCCTGGGCTGGCGCAGAACCTTGAAGTGTTGCTGCGCCTGTCTGCAAGCCGCCGCAGGAATCGGGGCATAGCTCAGCCCAGGAGTCGGATGGCACCAGCAAGTTCACGAGGATGCTGATCGAGTCGTCATGTGAGGTGAGGATGTCGCTGCCTATGACTTGCCAACCTGAGCCATCACCCAGGACTGCGGCCGACCCCCGATCGTTGCACTGCTGGATCGCCACAGGGCACGGCAGACCTGCCCGCGGTCGCTTGCAACGCCCACTTGCGGCCAGGATTCATACATCCAGCACATTCTTGCACCTCAAGACTTTGGAGAGACTCACGTAGAAGCAACGCAACAGGAAGACAGCATCAATCAACTCTGAATTCTCGCAACCTTGCCCATCTCCTCAAGCCAAATTTTGCCCGTGTAACACAGTACGGTGAGACTACAAGTCCTGCCATCAAAAACATCGACAGACTGAACAAGCACATGCTTTAATCAAGCTTCTCCAATTCCTGTCGGCACAAGCCAAACTAGGCTCGCGGCCTTTTGTTGTGGGCCAGCTTCTCAGCGTTGTCTGGCTCGTCAGAGATCAGAGCTAGATGGCCTGGGTAGGATCTCGGTACGGTATACACGTCTGCAGGAGCTTCATAACCCTAAACCCCTAAACCCTAAACCCCTAAACTCCTAAACCCTAAAGCCCTCCTCACTCCGAGGGGCCTAGACGTAGCGCCTGGTCCTCGTTCTGCTCCGCGAAGAGCTTTGGCAGGAGGTGGTCCAACCTGACTCTGACGCGGCTCCCGAGGCGACGCTGCAGATCACGAGTTCTAGGGAGATCAGATCTGATCCGGGATTGGGCAACCTCGCGCCCTGACCTCGCGGCCTCACGGCCTCACGCCCTCGCGGCCTCGCGCCCTGACCGATCGCGGCCTCGCAGCCTCACGGCCTCACGCCCTCGCGGCCTCGCGCCCTGACCTCGCGGCCTCGCGCCCTGACCTTGCGGACTCGCGCCCTGACCTCGCGGCCTCGCGGCCTCACACCCTCGCGGCCTCGCGCCCTGACCTCGCGGCCTCGCGGCCTCACGGCCTCAAGCCCTCGCGCCCTGACCTCGCGGCCTCGCGCCTCACGGCCGCACGGCCTCGCGCCCTCACAGCCTCGCAACCTCGCGGCCTCGCGC